GGCTCCCCGCGCGCTGGAGCCCCGCGCGGGAGCTGAGGGGGAGCCCGTGAGCGCGGGAGCTGAGCGCCTCTCGGGGAGCGAGCGGCAGCCAGGATGGCCTCGTCGTCGGGCAACGACGACGACCTCACCATCCCCAGGGCTGCCATCAACAAGATGATCAAAGAAACGCTCCCTAACGTCCGCGTGGCAAACGATGCCCGGGAGCTGGTGGTGAACTGCTGCACTGAATTCATCCACCTCATCTCCTCCGAGGCCAACGAGATCTGCAACAAATCGGAGAAGAAAACCATCTCCCCGGAGCATGTCATACAAGGTAAGCTTCCGGAGGCGGTATGCCTCTGCCCGGTACGCCACGGGTCACGCAGGCTTTGAGCCGCTCCTGTCCCGTTGCGACTTTCTCCTGTGTGATTTCTTGTAGCTTTATAGAAAACAAAAGGCAGGGGTCTTTTAAGGGTCAGGAGGAGAAGTATGTGCTGTCTGGCTTGTCAGTCGCATTGCAATGGAAGGTTGTCTTTGTGTGCTTAGAGCGACTGTTGAGTGTGCTCAGGACCAGCTCTCATTTTGTGGTTCAGAGAGTCTGGGATGCTTTTAAGTGAAGTCACCATATCCATTCATCGTCGTTGTACACCTGTGAAACGAGGTCGTCTTTTTCGAATGGTTATGAAGATTTCTTTTACGGCATGTTTTAAGATCCCGAATTTATCAAATGCCTTTTTAATTGGAGACTGGCAGAAGATGTGTGATTATGTGGGCTTTAATCCAGAGTCGTCCTGTATGGATCCTATAAAGAGTCAAATGTTTCTCTAGGGCTATCTTTGGAGTGTAATTGTTTAACACGAAGTATTTGTATCTGTTTTAGAAGGCATTTAAACGTGACCTGTGCCCTTGCATCTTTTTCTACTATTGACTTCCCCTTCCTCTTGCTTGAATAAAAGGGAAGGTTCTCTCTCTGCGTCTCGTTTGCTTTTCTTTAACTTCTGCCACAAACAGTGAGTTTTCTTGTATCATCCTTAAGTCTGCAACAGGCATCTTTTGTCAGCAATCATTCATTTTGCTGCTAAAGCGAAGGTTGTTGATACCAGTGTCTGACACAAACAAATTTATATCAGCATTAGTGAAAGTGTACTGTACTCTGCTGCCTGGTAGAGATATTAACAGTAACATTTGTAGTAGAGCTATTTTCAGGACTGTGACGGTATCAAGTTAGATAAAAAACTGTGGGTTTTGGTAATCAGTCTTTGTTTGAAAGGAAAAAAAAATCTGATTCCTTGGGATTATATCAATTTAGTGCTCACATACTTGACTAGGTTATGAACAGCAAAAGAAAATATGTTGCCTGTATGAGCTTTAATATTCAATAAAATACGTGTAAACCTGGAAGGTTATTAAAGGAACTCTATCACAAGCTTAGGATGTAAAGAATGAAACTTGTGCTTGCGTGTGGAGACATACTTTGGGTATGTTGCTTCTTGATAGTTTGTTCAAGTGACCACCAAAACACTTGAGCTCAGTCCTTAACATAAGAATAGACATGATCTTTAAGGTTGAGGACAGTAAAGAATTAATGTGTGAAAGTATTTGTGGCCTGGTATTGGTGGTCCTTAGAAAAGAATTTACCAATTGCTGCCCCAGGGTTAGTCGAGGTTGGGTTTTTTTCTGAAAACAAATTGAAGCTAAAACGTGTATGTGTATCATCAGCAGGTGGTCCCAAACCAATTATTTCGATGGGTTCTATGTTTTCATATTAAAGATTTTAATGTTAGGAAAAATTATTTTCCAAATAGATCTGTACTTTTTAGCCAAATATTTTAAGGAAAACTTCAGAGATATATCTATTTTTTATGATGCTCTGAAGATGGAAGAAGTTGTTCGTGGATTTTTCCACTGTTTTTTTCTTTAGGGGGAGGTATATGTGCTATTAGCATCTTCCAGTTGCTGGTCAGATGACAGATGATGCTTCTGTGGGGTACAAGGGTTTATGTCGCTAATTTTGGTATATATAGGCATAGTATTTCAGCATTTTCATCCATCTTCATACATTCTAGGTACTTGTTATTTTGACTGTCTCAGTGTAGCTCCATGACAACGAATCTAACAAATAATTGAAATATGTTTGTTGTGGTCATCCAGATACCTTGTTCCTTTTGAATGCTTAAACTAGTTCATTTAGATGTGAAATGAGGCTAATGGCCATTGCATCAAAGGTGATCCAGTCTAAACACAGGGTGCTGCCAAGAGGAGTCGTTTTGTATCCTCCCTAGAGCTGGACCTAGCAATTACTGGTACAACTGACCCTGTGGCTTTTTGAGAATCAAGAGGGGAGTAGAGGTTTCTGTCAGGTATATTTGCTGATCAGACTGTTACTGTAAACGAGAAGTTACTAGGAAGCAAGGAGCAGAAAGGGTATTTCACTGGGAAAGAGGAAGGGGGAAGAGACGCCCTGCAGTTGGTGACACCCTGTCATTGGACTGTGTTAGAGGTAATGTGAAACTTATGTCATCACTGTACTTAGGTGTTTGGCAGCAGTGGTGCTTAAGGCACCCCTTCCTTTGCACTGTTAAAATGATTGTGTGGCCACGTGCTGAGCTAGAACTCTTTACCCCTGCCACTGGGTTATGCTTCAGATATGTGAAGTCCCTGCTGTGTGTCATTGTGTGGTAGCACAAACACTTGACTGGTACAGTGCTGTCAGCAGCTTAGGGGAAGGAAAGCAGAGCTTTCTTGCATCCCATGAGGGATCTGATTTGGTAGATGCACTCAGACTATGCCAAGCACTCGCTACTATTGATAAAACGGCTTCCCTGGAGAGTACCCAAAGGAATCAGTGCTATGTAATAGTCCTAAGTGGAGATAGTCTCCACGTTTATTGTTGAATCCCACCATCAGGAACCCAGCTGTGAGTCTGAGACTCTAATAAGCAAATGAATATCCTTCCATCCTGGAGCAGAAAATAGGCTCATGTTGATAGTTATGTGAGTTGTGACAAGGCAGGCTTTTTATGAGAAATTAAACTTCCATTGAATTCTGAAAATGGTGAGATGCTAAATCCCCATTTTTATGAATTTGATTATTTGGTCTACATAGAGCTGCTGTGCAGTAAGGTAGGCTGTGGATTGATGGCAAATCCTGTAGATTCTTTTAGGCTGTTAGGATACTGACACTGTTTATGTTAACATTTAATGTTAAAAAAACAACTGTTAGTGTTTTTGGATTTTATTTTGGAAGTTAGTTTTCTTTGAAAGGAGCATAACAAGGTAAAAATCCCAGATATGAATGACCTGATTATATAAAAACAAATGTGGAGCTAATACTGCTTAACTGATTAATTGGAGAGCTTCACCTTCATGGAGTTCTTAAGAGTGAGAGGAAATGATAAATGTGATTTGGTGTTTGTAAATATGACAAGTTCCACCCCCTCAAAAAAAAACCCCACACCACAAAAACCCAACCAAACTGTGTTTTGGGATTCAGTTTAAATTTGGTGTGATCATTCCAACCTCAGTAAGATACCGAATTTTCAGCAGTCTGGGTGAATGTGTAAATTTCAGACTGAAGAAATCGAAAGACTGTGTTTTTGTGGAACAGTAGCTCTGCTAAAGTAGTAATCACTTGTTTCACATTTTAACACCATGCTGGTATAAAGGGATTTATATTTCTTCCATGCATGTGTGTTGTAAAACCTTGATGTATTTCAAAA